TCTACAAGGTCTCGTCCTACAGGGTGATTCATATAGAACCGGCCCGACGAAATGAGGTGTAATATAAAATATACCCTACAGATATTAAAGTAATTTACACATATCTTATCTTGGATTGTGTACCGTGATCAGAACAGGTGTTGAAAGTGTCCGCCGTTTTCAAGTAGGAATTAGAAATACTAGCTGTTCAACAGTGAACTCCATGACTGACGCCTGCGCACTGCAGACACGTTTCGACATTGTCCTTGACCTTGCAGCATAAGGGCTGCCACTTGCCGGATCATGCGGACACCATTCGACTCAGAACGGCCCACGGATTATTATGTCGTAATTGTGAGCGGTTATATGCATCACCTGCGGAATTATTAGCAAATTCATCGGGCCGGTTCTATACGATTCACCCTGTATTTTCCTTCGTATTTTTTGTTTTGCGCCTTTACACTGACAATTGCAAAAATGCACATATTATTTTTGCCATGCCTGTCCGTCTCTCTGTCGACATGTAACAACTCTGGAATTGCTGAACGGATTTTTATACACTTTGACACTGGCCAGTTTTACTAAAATTCGTCGAAACACTCCCATTTCTGCTCGCGTCTGGAATATAGATCTACCTCACGAAATATATTTGGAACATTTTTTTTTTCGAACAATCGTTGTAGAAAAATGAATCACAAACTTCGTGTCCAATATTCTTTTACCACAAATCTTGCAGTTTTAGAGACAATTAACCTAAGATCTTTATGTATTGTTATCTCACAGTTCGAGAGCCGCTGATCCGATTTTGATAAAGTTTTCAAGTGACAGGCCTGCCTTGCTCGTCAGTCCTGCTTGATTTACGCCATTTATAACGAGCATCAAAGTATGAATTCGTGAAATTAAAACCCATAGGAAATAACAAAGTAAATTCGTCAGAATTTGTACAATATTTTACATTGTGTCCCTTCTTTACATAGCCGCTTCTGAGTTTATGTCTCATTGTACACAATACTCTTGTTTTGCGGCTCAGAACTAGGAAAACTTGTGGTTTGTAAATAAGATCTAAAAGTTTGTGACGATAGTACATTAGCACAAATATTACGTCTCTGGACATTATCCATCGTCCTGTTCTTACGAGTGTATAAAACGCCGGCTGCTTATATATCAAAACACGACGTTTGGGAGACTGGATCCTGTCTCCGTCTTCAGGTAAAACCTA